GAATGTCAAAATATACGATGGTTGACGATGCTGATTGTGAAGTCAGATACTGGCTTGCAGTGTGTAGCGTCCGCTATCTCGAAGGAATAACAAGATAAAGATGGATATTGCGCGGGTTTTGTTGTTGAACACGTCTCAGGGTAGCCGCCGATCGCGAGAGCGAGTAACAATCGATTCGGCACTCGATGTAGCGCCCCGTCGTCGCTTTGATGCAGCAGATGCCAGTGTGGCGCCGCTTGAGCGCGCTCTGCCACGTTCATTTAACTGCTACCCACTTGCTCATAGAATTGGCCTGATCGTTTCGTGGGTCGTTTGTGCGAGCGACGTCGCCATCCGATAGCTGAAAACTACGACGTCTAGGCTTCTCAAGCTCATACACTGAACAATGCCTTTGCGATACACACCGAAGTTGACATTGCATCATCAACACGTTGATGCTATCACTGCGGTAGTCTTCAGTGCTGATGGTCAATTCCTTGCCAGCGGCGGACAAGACGGCGCAATGGTCATTTGGTCTACAACTTCCGGTCAAGCAATATATCATATAACTGTCAAATCTGGAATTCTGTGTTTGCTGTGGCCGAAATGTTCCAACTCCATTATTGCGGGAACGTCGGATGGCACCCTAGCAATGTTCACAATAACCGATGTGCGTCTATATAAGAATCATAGTTCCATCAATACGACACGCTCCTCACCACTGGTTCTCTAGAACATGATCACAGCTTCTGGTTTTGTCGCGCATACAGGGCCTATCGACGCGCTATCAACGACTTGCAATATGGCAGTCAGAGCTCGATCTGCCTCTCTCGAAGGCTTCCATAGTGACCCTGATCAGAAATCTGCCACTCCTGCGAATGATTCATGCAACAAGCATCTGCTGGCATCTGCATCAGGTATCAATGTGAACATCTGGCGTTGGGACCAAGAAAGTGAGTGCTATGTGTGTTGTTATACAGTGATATCCTGACAATGTTTCTTTCTAAAAGCAAAATTTTGGTGCAAATACTGTGGTCTTGAACAGCCTCAACATGATCCATTCAGTGATGGACAGCCTGCTGAAGCAACAGGTGTTCAATGGCTCTCACCTCCAGATGATAATCAACTTGTAGTGTCATACTTGCAACATGGCATCCTGTGGGCAGCATATTCTATGGACTGAACATAATCTGATGCTTTGAGATAGATGCTGGAAAGTAGGTGAACATGAAGATGACATTCATGTCAACTGGTCGATTCACATGCCTTTCTCGTATGTATATGTAATTTTGTTTGAATCCTTTGCTAAAGGTCATACAGTGGATGTATTGCAATATCACCAGACAATAATCGTTTGGCTGTTTGCAATATTCAGACAGGATTTGATGTCTATGAGATTCCCTCTGGACTGCATCAGTTACACATAGACAGATCTCATGACAAGCCAGACAGAATACTTCCAATTGTCTTTCATCATGGTAATTTGATATTAACTGGTGGAATGAATGGACGGTTGCGTTTGTACAACTCTGCAGAAGGCAGATGTCTACAGAAATTAAGACTCAAAAGTAAGTTTATCAGTCATTGTACATTATCAAGCTACTAAGCTATGTATGGTTTATAGCAAAGGCCCCAATACAAGCCATCTCAGTGCGTATATTTCTCAAACTGTATGAACAACTTAAAACTTATCAGAAATTTATAGGCATTCTACTTCACAGATAATGACACATATCTAATTGCAGCAGGAACATGTGTTGAAGATTCTCCTAATTTTATTCAGATATGGGATACAGTGATGGTTGACTCAGACTGAGACAACTATTATGGAATGACTATTATAAATTGGACAGATGTAATTACATTGTCAGACAATATATGCTCAATAGCATAGTATTTGAATTCTTCACTGTGTGATTCTCTGAGATATTTTAAGTGTATCAGAAAAACACAAATTCTCCCTTTGTAGCCACATAGGTGATATTGATGCATGTGCCAGAGGGGTCTTCTCATCTGCCTGGTATAACAAGTATCATTTTAAATTATGCTAAGATGGCTCTCAACCCAGTGGTCATGAATTCATCATTTCTTGTATTCTTGGCATGATCCAGATCCCTTAAGTGGATGCAGACAAACAGATGTCAGCGACCATTAAGGTAGCTCTCCTGCAAAGCATATTTGGGAATTAACACATTATGCATTATGGACAGCAAAACAGCTGCTCACATATAGCAGCATGCATACTACAATATGAATGCCATTTGAAGTTCAGTACTTTTTCACATAATGAAAAGGTGTTCTGGGACCATGCCATTTCGAAATGGTCAGAATCTTGCCTTACCATCAAGGTTCATGGCATTCTGGGAAAGGAAATTGAATGAACGGGAATGGCATTAAAGCACTGTAGGGTGCTGAATGATGCACTTGACAAAGTTCCAGATAATGGAAAGGTGTTCTGGAGCCACGCTGAATA